TCCTTGAGAACACTGATACCTGTATGCAGTTCAGAAAACACATCCATGTGTTATTTCATTTACTGTGTGCAACAGCCTTTCAAGGTGATTGTAGTACAAACAACTTCGCTTCATGGATCAAAGCCTTGTCATGGCAAAGGGGCATGCGCAACTCAGCAAAGCTAGGAGGCATGCTGTGCAGGCCCACCCAAGACAAATGGGTCATAATGCAGAGTTCTGACAAAACATGGTCCACTGGAGAAGGAAATGGTAATCCACTCCAATATTTGTGCCGCGAGAACCCAATGAACAGAATGAAAAGGCAAAAAGATATGACACTGAAGATGAGCCCCTGCCCCTAGGTTGGAAGGTGTCCAGTATGCTACTGGGGAAAAGCAGAGGGCAATTACTAATAGCTCTAGAAAGAATGAAGCAGCTGGGCCAAAGCAGAAACAACACTCAGTTATGGATATGTTTGTCAATAAAATTGAAGATATCAAGGGAACATTTCATGCAAGGATGGGCACGATAAAGGTCAGAAACAGTAAGGACCTAAGAGAAGCAGAAGAGATTAAGAAGAGGTGGCAAGGGTACACAGAATTATATAAGAAAGGTCTTAATGACGCAGATAACCGCAATGGTGTGGTCACTGGCCTAGAGCCGGACATCCTGGAGTGTGAAGTCAAGTGGGCCTTAGGAGACATTACTATGAACAAAGCCAATGGAGGTGACAGAATAAACATTAAGAAGCTTCTCAATACCTATCCCAGCACCCCTGGGATGCGGAGCTAAGGAAATACACAATAGATGCCTTTCTCTAGACTATGAGTAAACTTTCACATCCAGATACATTCCATCTTTTGGGATATTTCCCCATCCATCAAGTGTTTGAGATAATAAATGAAGTGGCAATAAATAGGGACACTGATGAGTCTGGGCTCACAGAACTTCCAGCTTCTGGATTCAATCTGATCTGAGGAGCCCCCATTGACTCCTGGTGCTTCCTTTGCTAGAGCATCAAACACTTGTTTTGGGTCTAAGGTTCCAGGGCTTTGTTGTTTAACCATTTGGGGTCAGCATTCGTGAGACCAAAATAAGATCTTAAGGCCAGGTAATTTTCCAGACAGGGATTCAACAGATCAGTTTGAAGTTAATCAGGGATGTGTTTCATTTAAACTGTCTAAAGTTGGGACTTTTTTAGAGTAATAAAATAGGAAGAATGTGTCTGTCTTGTATCATTAATGCTACTTATAGGTACACCCAGTGGGTAATTTGAGCTTGTTAAGTTAAAAGGTAGAATTTCAGTTCTACCTTAACAGCATAAAGATTCTCTTTGCTGCATATAATTAAACAAAAAGTGAAGCTAAAGCAAATTTCATTAAATGTTTGGCCCAGTCATAGAGAACTGTCATCTCTCCAGGTTGATGTAAATGGGAAGGGAAAATGTTCTTTTATCACTTAAGAACTTCTTTCACTTAAGGTTCCTGAAAGTACATTTGTACTATTTACAGGATGATTAACTGCTCACAAAGTTCTCAAACAACAGGTGTAAACATTTTTTTTATTCTAATTTGAAAGGACAGACATTGTTGATTCCTATTTCCTATTCAGCTCTCTTTGGATTTGCATCTTTTAAGGGAGAGATGCAAATTTCTTTCCTTACTACAAGTGCTGCATGCTGAGTGGCTTGTCAATAAAATCCATTCAAAATTGGAGATACCTGTGGCCTGTGAATGAGAGAGCATTTCTATGCTGTCTTCTCTGGGGCAGCCACGGTGCTTCTCAAGCGTGCTTTGAAAATGCCTCTCTGTACTGAGCTAATCCTTTCCGCAGCCAGTTGGGTTCTTGGTTCTCCAGGTTATGATGTTGTCAGCTGTCAATGGTTTGCACTGACTCCTTTGAGCTCTCTGTGGCCATCTCTAGTCAGAGTCCACATTTTCCTTCAACAGGTTAACTGGACCAAACTGGAGTTTGGTTTCTTTTGCCTGGAGGCCAGAAAAGTATGTAGTTTCTCATTTGCTTGATTTTTCCAGTTTCAAAATGAGGGCTTGCACTGCCCCAGCAATGAAGAGAGCAGTCATACCTCCTGCAGCTGAGAGCTGCCGTAAAGCAGATGTTGAAAGATGAAATGTCATAACAGAGAAGCATCTTAATCTCTGATATTGTGTTCAAGTTCTTAAGAATGTGATATCCTCTAAGAAATTTGCAAACCTAAATGGAGATTATTTTATATGGCTTAACATTTCTTTAAACCATATGTCAACACAAGGACTTCTGAAAAGAAAATGACTGTGTTACTTGATCCCAAGGCCTGTGCTGAGTGGAAGGAGTGCTGTTCCCCTTCGTGTTGGCTGTAGCAGGTCTCAACGACAGGCCTGAGAGTGGAATCTGGCCAACCGCCTGTTATTATAAATATATTTTTTTGGAACACAGCCATGCTCATTCGTTTACATAAGTGTCAATGGCTGCTTTCCTGCTACGTAGAGTTGAGTAGGAAGGACAGAGGCCAGATGGCCTGAAATATATACTCTCTGGCCCCTTACAGAAAAAGTGTGCCAACTCCTGAATTACAACAGAATGTTAGGGCCGTGGGACCTCTGATCTGACTCTATTCCTAGCTTTTGGAGCTGTGGGCAAGTTATTTAAATTCTCTAGGACTCTTGAGAGTCCCTTGAACAGCAAGGAGATCAAACCGGTCAATCCTAAAAGAAATCAACCCTAAATTTTCATTGGAAGGACTGATGTTGAAGCTGATGCTCCAATACTTTGGCCACCTGATGTGTAGAGCCGACTGATTGGGAAAGACCCCGATGCTTGGAAAGACTGAGGGCAGAAGGAGAAGGGGACAACAGAGGATGAGATGGTTGGATGGCATCATCAACTCATAGGACATAAGTTTGAGCAAACTCTGGGAGATAGTGAAGGACAGGGAAGCCTGGTGTGCTGCAGTCCATGGAGTTGCAAAGAGTCAGACACAACTTAGCAACTGAACAACAAAAACGAAAGCTTTAGTTTCCTCATTTATGAAGTCGAAGATACTGAAGGTTAGGTTTTTTAGTTAGATAATATATTTAAAGCCAGTACTATCCTTGTTCCAAGCCCCACAGATATTGTGGACAGGTCCACATAAAGCTCTTAGCACAGCACCTGACGTGTAGGAAACACTCAACAAGGGTGCAAACGTATAAAATAGTTCATTTGGCTGCCGTTATCTCAGTCATCCTTGCCTTCTGCCATGTTCCCCTGGAGTTGTTGGGATCCCGGTGTTTCCCTTCCCCACCGCTCTGCCAGATGGCAGCTCTGTTTCCCACAAGGAAACGGTTAACAACCATTGAGATTTCGTGAATGGAGTGCTTGGGAAGGGAGTAGGCAAAGCTATGTGATGAGGTGTGAGGAACACAGGCATCCACCAGTCAAGGCAGAACCCCAGTGTCAGGACAGTAGATGGAGTGTGGACGCTGGAATCCAGAATTCCTGGGGTTTTGTGCATGAGCTGCGTGACCAAGTTCAGCAAATGTCTTTGTCTCTCTTCTTCGGTATCAGGAATTCAGCGCTGCTAACAATGAACCCCAGGGATGTGAGGATGAGCTGAGTTCCTGCCAAGAATGTGCTCAGCACATCAGATGTGCTCAATAAATATTGGTCCTCTGTGGTGCTGCTTTATGAAGGCAGGGGGAGAAGACAGCTGGTCTTGGGGACATGGGTGCCTTCAGAGTGCACCTCCTGCGTTTCAGCACCTGGTCCGCATGTCACCTTTTCAGTGAGGCCTTCCCTAACCATCCCTATGAACAGCTCATCTCCCCCCCAGCCTGGTCTCCTGCCTTCTCTTTCCTACTTGATTCTTCTCTGCTTAACGTATTGTATTCTGTGTGTTCTGTTCTGTGTTTTACTTGCCTGTTGGCTATTTTTTCCTTCCATGTGAGTTCCAGGAGGAGAGGAATGATTGCGTTATCCACTGATATGTTCTTGATGCTTGTAACTGTAGGAGGTACATATTCTGTGTTTTACCTATAATTGTATTTTTAGTGCCCAGCATACTGCCTGTCATATACTAGTGAGAGAACAAATAAATAATTGAGCCAAGTAAATGAGTTGTATTGATCCAGGGCTTCTTATAATATTAGTGTCTGACTCATATAGGATTTCTTTATACAAGCTCCCTTCATTGTTAAAATATTCTGTAATAATTTATATTGTCATCTTAGGAAAAAAATGAGTATTGACTGAAATGTACACGCTAAATGTTTGTGTTTTTCTGAGGCCAGTCAGTAGGCAGGAAGCCTCTCTGCGGGTGCATAGATGATGGGAGGGATCATGTTCCATCCACCAGGCCAAAGCTTTCAGAGATGTGACAGCAATGTGCCAGAGTCCCACTCTAGGATTCTTCTTTCTCTTGGGAAAGCCAGACCACATAGTCAGCATGAGAATCAGATCAGTGAAGCTTGTCCATGATGAGCTCCAAACTGCCAGGCTCTAGAGCTGGCCTGTGGGAGGGTTTTCCTTCCCACAGGAAGGAAGGCATTAGGGACTTTGGCCAGAGTGGGGACTTGCCAGGCTGCATTTTCTGGAGACCAAACCCAGTGCTCGTTAGTGACTAGAACCCCTCTCAGGATCTGAGACTCCCTCAGGGACTGTCTCTCTCCAGCCTCAGGGCCCAAACTTGAAACATGGCGCCCAAAGGGTTATACAATGTTAGGAGCACGAGGGAGATTGGATAGAGGGTCCAGTCAAGACCCAAGAGCGTACAGGATGGACTTTTCTGGATGCATGAGCTGATGAAATCTAGGAGCGGGAGCCTACAAGATGAACCTGTGGTTCTCCACACTCAGGCAGAGAACTAGCAAATGTGCTGGTGGAGCCCACTGGAGCATTGACGTGGAAATGTTGTATCTGACAGGGAGGTTATGTCTGTTTTTCTATCATAGCACAGGCTCTGTTTGAAAGTTAGTTGCATGGGATGGAATGCTCAGAGGCCTCCGTCACACTCTCAGACCCACCTGCTTCTCCACTTTCATTTCCAGCATGGGCTACTGCATTCTTTTCGTGCACGGACTGAGCAAGCTGTGCGCGTGGCTGAATCGTTGTGGCGCCACCACCCTGAGCGTCTCCACGGTGCTGCTCCTGCTGCTTTTTTCCTGGAAAACTGTGAAACAGAATGAAATTTGGCTGTCGAGAGAGTCCCTATTCAGGTATGACTACCGGGATAAAAGTGAATCTCTTCCCATTTATGTCTTTGCTTATGTATTAGTTTCCAAACAAACCAGGTGACATGGATCTGGTGATATTTACTACTCCAGAAGTGTTTTTCAGTGAAGTTATAAATGGAAGGTGTCCTTTTATTTGGGGTTTTAACTTCAGGTTTTTTTTTTTTTTTAATAGTATATAAAGTTTTATGGGAGCTCATTCTAAGTGAATTGATGAAAATAAGGATCACGGGAAGCTTTGGGAGGTCTGAATTGAGATGGAAAGTCTTAATGACAAGCTGGGCTGTAAAATCGGCTATAAACAAAATGAAACAATAAGTCTAATTCCATTGTTCAGCCGAGTGAATGGGAAAGGTGAGCGCACAGCAAGAAGGAAGAGAAATGCAGTACATTTTCTTTAAAATGTTTCAGGACATTAAGTCATGATCTGTCATCTAGTTGCTTTATTTTGAACATTAATTTTGAACAGGAAATGATTTCTCATCTCCTGGTAGGTTTTTATGTGGTGTAGAAGCTGTTTCAGAGTATAGTGAAGTGTTAGTCACTCAGTCATGTCTGCCTCTTTACAACCATTGACTGTTGCCATTGACTGTAGCCTGCCAGGCTCCCCTGTTCAAGAGATTCTCCAGGCAAGAATATTGGAGTGGGTAGCCATTCCCTTTTCCAGGGGATTTTCCCAACCCAGGGACTGAACCCTGGTCTCTGCAATGCAGCCAGATTCTTTACCATCTGAGCCACCAATATAACAATGTCCTAAATGTTGTAAACTATAAACATCCTTTGAGTCACTCATCATGCTGTGTTTCTGGACTTGATTTGTCTCATTGATGCCACAGCCCTGGCAACCTTCACCTGGGCTCCTGGCTCAGCCACACCTGACCTCCCAGGAGTATTTCCCAGTCTCTAGGAGTTCCTAGTTTTTGCCTGCCTCCAGCTTCTGTCCTCACTTGTGGCCCAGTTGGCCAGTTCAGTCAATGTGGTTTTATTTGGTTCCCTGACCACCTAGTACCCTACACTTATTCTTTGGAGGCAAACGACTGAAAGTATGTAGCAGACTGGTTGTCTGAAGAGTCTGTCTTGAGGGGACCTGAAAATTTGCAAAGAAATGAATGGAGGGTAAATGAATGAATGAAAAGTCAGGATTACTTTTTAAAATGAGAAAATATAGCAAGAACATAGGGGAGCACCCAGAACTGGGGAGCAAGTGAGGAAGCTGGTGTGTAGCAGACTGGTTGTCTTAATAGTCTGTCTTGAGGGGACGTGAAAACTTGCAAAGGAATGAATGCAGGGTAAACTTACCCGTTTTCTCTCTTCACATCACAGTCCCAGGAAGATAAAGTCTTCTAACTGAGTCTGAACTTAGGTCATGTGCCTGCCCTTTGTCCCCCATCAGGGCACTGAGATGACAGAACTGGTCAAAAACTCTCCTCTGACTTCCATGGGGGGTGGCGCGGGGAAGTTAGGGCAGGAAGAGCCCCTGGGCTTCCTCTGAGATAACACAGCAAAAGGGAATTCTCCACAGGAAGTCCACTTAAAACAGTATATCTGATTTTGCTACTTGGCAGTTTAACTTTTTTAATAGAAAAAAATGTAATTTGGCATGCATGTCTTTATTTATTATTACATATCATTTGTTCTCATTGTTATTATCATTGTCACCATCATTATTTCCATGGGTCCTGTAGGGACCTGTTGCTCTGTTTTTTGTTTTTTCTTTTCCTCCTCTATGAATTGTTTTTCATTTTTAGGCTGCAGAGCCTGTTCTGTTCCTGTCATAGCCCTGACTTCAATGCAGTGCTTACAGATGACAGTGAACTCGTTCCCTCTTACTGCCCAGTGCTGAGGTCATTCTGTAAACACAAGGGCATGGAAGTTCAGGAATATAACTTCCTCCTGGTTTCTGTTGACTTAATTAATTTTTTCCTTCACTTTCAGTAGTCAGTGATTTAATGAGAAATGTTTAAATGGTTCTGCCCTGTGTTAAACCTTCTTGAGTATAAGTACTAAGAGTGATTACATTTTGTAATGATGTTTACTGCTTAATCAGAGCAACTCTGGGGATGGATTCTGGCAGACAGTAGTTTATCTCAAGGATAACAAGTTAGTGTTCAATCCCTATACAATTGATGCCAGCAATTTTAAAAAAGGGAAAGCAAAAGAGCAAAACACTCATTGACCTTGCATGCAGAGGCTTCTGGTTTTTTAGATGGGAGCATGTAGAAAGTTAGCACTTGATTACTAAAACACTCCACATATGTACATAAAGAAACTTTGTCTCTGAGATGCCTTTGGTGATCAAATGGAGTTTTGTGTAATATGCAAATCAAAGCTATCAGTAGGTTTTAGAAAACTTTACCTATTGTAATTTATTATATTCTGAGAAAATTTTAAGAATCTGAGACTTTAAGTTTTTTCTTTTTCCTTTAAGATCAGATGTTTGTATATATTCACCTTTCCTGAACAATGTTCAAATTAGTTGAACATTTACCAGGAATCTTTGAGTCATGATAGGATTAGTGGTTGGTGTGGAGTACGGAATTAGGCTTTTTGGCTTTGCTCCAAGTTCCACTGTTTAATAGCTATGTGATCATGGGTGAGTTACTCAATCACTTCATGCCTTACTTCCTTTATTTTAAAATTTAGGAATTTGGGATTAACATATATGCACTTCTTTATGTGAAACAGATAACCAGCAAGGATCTACTGTATAGCACAGGGAACTATTCAATATATTTATTCAATATCTTGTGATAAACCATAATTATATATGTATACACACACACACACATATATATATATATGGCTTCCCTAATGGCTTAGCGGGTAAACAATCTGCAGCCTGCAATGCAGGGGACACAGGAGATGTGGGTTTGATCCCTGGGTTGGGAAGATCCTCTGGAGAAGAAAATGGCCTGAATCATTTTGCTGTACACCTGAAACTAACACAACATTGTAAATCATCTAAATTTCATTAAAAAAATTTTTTTAAATAAATTTTTTAAAATTTAGAATAATGATAGTGTCTATCTTCTGGTAGGGGCTTCCCAGGTGGCACTGGTGCTAAAGAACCCATGTGCCAATGCAGGAGACATAAGAGAGGTGGGTGGTTTGATCCCTAGGGAAGATCTCCAAGAACATCCCCCCAGAGAAGATCCCCGGGAGGAGGGCATGGCAACCCACACCAGTATTCCTGCCTGGAGAAACCCATGGACAGAGGAGCCTGGTGGGCTACAATCCATAGGGTCACAAAGAGTCAGACACGACTGAAATGACTTAGTACGCATGTGCACCTTCTGCTGTATTTATAAGAATAAAAGAGTGTGTTAAAGATGCCCAGGGCAGTATGATAAACACTATGTAAGGTTATTACTCTGCATTGTGTTCTAGGACATGAGTGAGAAGTGGGTTGGGGGAGAGACTAGAGGAGCCTGAAGTCTGGATGGGAGTCAGATGCGTGAACACATTTTAATATAATGTAGCAGGTGGTAGGGTCTTCCCTGGTGGCTCAGTGGTAAAAGTCCGCCTGCCAATGCAGGAGATATGGGTTCAATCCCTGGGTCAGGAAGATCCCCTGGAGAAGGAAATGGCAACCCACTCCAGTATTCCTGCCTGGGCAATCCCACAGACAGAGGAGCCTGGCGGGCTACAGTTCATGAGGTTGCAAACAGTTGGACACAACTTAGCGGCTAAACAACAACAAAGCAGGTGGTAGACAAGAGGAAGGGCAGGACACTGTGTAAGTGCAGGCAGGTGACTGTAATCAACCCAAGCCTTCAAGGGCTGTTCTCCTGTGGGCCTGAGCTCGGTATGGTAGGATGAGGGAAACCTAAAGTAGCTGTAATGGTCAAAACCAAGAGCTGGCCCACTGAGTAAGAAAAAGTTCTAGATAAGCTGATGTCCTTACAGAGGTCCTGATTCTGTTTTCTCCTCTGTTCCAAACTATAAACTCATTGACCATCCTAGGTCATATGGTCTCAAGAGCTCTCTAATTATATGGAGTGGTTTTGCTTGGCAATACTATGAGCAATCGTACAGAATATCTTAGGACAGACCTTTGTGTTAGAGAAAATCCAAATTTCAGTCAAGTCCCAGTGTTTCCAGCTAAGGCCTCCTCCCACAAAAAAGATGGCACTGAATGATGTATTTTTAGGAGATACCAATGCAAAGTTGCCTCACATCTTTGTACATCTATTCTTGAAAACCTCTCACACAAAAGCATAAGAATTCAGTACTTGTGTCTCACCAGGGGCTCAGAAAGAGAATAGTTTGTCCAAGCCAGACTAGCTGTGAAAAAGCGGAGCCAGGATTTGAACCCAAATCTAATGTAAAAGCCAAAGAATGTATATACTTCACCACACCTATAGTTTGCTTTATGTTGTCTAACTTAATCTCAGCCCAGTGTAAACAGAGAGAGACAGACGGAAACAGAATGAGAGATATTTGTAATCATAGTTGCAAGGTACATTTTCTTTAATCTCTTAGAACAGGAAATTATTCTGCTCTCTAATCTAAGGAGATAGAAACTGCATACATCCAGCTGAACTGAGTGATACCCCAGACTCATGTGTGTTTGCAGGAAATTGTACCAAAATAACACAATTTGATTAAATATTTTCTTCCTGTCCCCCAAATCTTCAAAATACCTCGAATGACAAAGATAGCATATTTTGTTTTGCATCCAGTTTGGGGTCTCTCTGAATCCCATTCGTGAACTGTTTAAATGATCCAAGGACCACCGTTTAGAATTTATGGCCTAGATCTTCCTCCCTTTCTGTAGAAAACACATTTCTTTTTCTTCCTCTGGAATTGCTGAGCCAGAAAGATAAGCAGACCTCCCAGGGCAGAGAACAGAAACCAGAGATTGGCAGATTCCTTTGTAAAAGCCAGACTATAAATATTTGAGGCTTTGTGGGTCCTCTAGTCTCTTTTACAGCTACTCTGCTGTTACCTCGGGAAAGAGGCCGAAAACATTTTTGTAAAAGGGTAAACCCGTGGATGTGTCTGTGGCCCATCAGGCCGTAGTTTATTTATCAATGATATAAACATAGTCACAGTGACATTCTAATATACCTAGTATCTTGTGGTACCTTTTTGGTTTATCCAATATTAACCAACTTCAGGAATGATTCTGACCATATATTGGCCTTGGATGAAATCTCTGCTCAACTGTTTACTCAGTCTGTAACCTTAGAAAATGGTCTTCATCTCTCTGAGCCTCAATTTCCTCATCTACAATATGGGAGGTACAGTATTCTACCCATCTGATAGATTGTTGAAGGAAAGAAAGGAGATAGCCCTTGGAAGTGGATGCTTAACTCAGTGCTTGATTTAAAATGAGCCTGCATAAGCACTGGCCATCCTGAGTGTGGTGGTGGAAACCTCAGGTTAAATAGGGTCACAATCGAGGAGAACCACAAATTCTTACTTTCCTTTCCTGTTAACCTCTGGCTGAACACTACTTGTTTTTTAAAAATGTTTGTTTTCTAATCAGGAATTTGGAGATGCTTTTCCTGACCTATTGTTCCATTAATATCAACAAAATAAATGTTTCTACAAACTTGGAGAGGTACCTGAGAGAAGTGGCTTGATATCTCTGGTATTTTTCAAGTCTTCTGCAAATGAGAGGTGTGAGGGAGAAATGCAAAGTGCATGAACACAGACCCTGCATTCAGAGGGAGACTTTTATTCATAATCCTTGTTGTAGTTATTAATAGGGCTTCCCCTGTGACTCAGTGGTAAAGAATTCGCCTGCCATTGCAAGAGATGCAGGAGATTTGGGTTCGATCCCTGGGTTGGGAAGATCCCCTGGAGAAGGAAATGGCAATCTGCTCCAGTGTTCTTGCCTGGGAAATCCCATGGAGAGAGAAGCCTGGCAGGCTACAGTCCATGGGATCGCACAGAGTCAGACACGACTTAGCAACTAAACAATAGCAGCAACAGCAGTCATTAATAGGGTTTGAGATCCAGCGCCATAACTTATGAATCCTACATTCCCTTGTGGAGTAAGTATGTGTAAGGCTGCACATTCTGTTAAGACAGTTGGGACGACTGAATCTCAGCGTCTGAGTAACAAGCTGAGGAGGCTGGCCCGGGAAGGAGGGGCAACCTGGCAACTCAGAGTGACACTGAAAGTTTTGCCTTTGGCTAGTTTATCTTTCTTTCTTCATAAAATGTTCATTGTAAAATGAGAGACTGGAAAAACATAGCAGGAAAAGATTACATAGAGAACATAAAGGTCAAAAACAACAATGGGAAATAACAATGGGAAAAGCAGTATAGTCACAGGATTTCAGTTACTCCAACCACACCCGTTTGCCTGCTACAAATGTTACTACTTCCTACTGCCATCCTTGAACATGCCCTCATCTTTGCAAGGAGGCGTTTTCACAGATTGAATTTGGGTGAAACAAAGTGACTATGCTAATTGCACAGAGGGAAGGATCAATTCCAATAAATATTACAGTTATATCTATGCTGAAATCAAAGTTATCTTTAAAATCTCCCTGTCCCATGCACTATATAGTTTTGGAGAGAAAAGTCAGACATTTTCCTGTATAAAAATTAAATTTTTAAAAAGCCATCACTATCACTCTGACCTTGGTCCTGCCCTGTGACTAAATATACTTTGAGTAATGTCCATTTGAAATGTTATACTAAAATTCTAGCTTTGTTCGTTAGCTAGTGAGCTGCACTGTGGGGGTAATTGAAGAGATCGATATCTTCACTGGAGCACCCAAATGGCAGCGTTTATAAGTCTTTTGTTTTGGGTTAGTCATCTTCCAGTAAGAGGATTCCTCCAGTCTCCTCCCTGAGAGTCCAATCCTGGCTACCAGTGTGCAGAGCTTTGCATGGATACCACAGGGTTAGGAGGATCTACCGTCCAGAATGCATATTGTCACTTAACCTACTTTGGAGGTACAGCTCCACTGGCCCTAGCTGTATCTGTTGTTTCTGAATGCAGGATCTCTGATTCAGTTCTCTAGAGAGTAACATGCACGCGTGCTAAGTCGCTTCAGTGTCCGACTCTTTGCGACCCCCTGGACTGTAGCCCACCAGACTCCTCTGTTCATGGGATTCTCCAAGCAAGAATACTGGAGGCGGTTGCCATGCCCTTCTCCAGGGGTCTTCCCCACTCAGGGATCGAACCCAAGTCTCTTATATCTCCTGCATTGGCAAGCAGATTCTTTACCACTAGCGCCACCTGGGAAGCCTCTAGAGAGTAAACTTCCTGCCTTTTGCTGGGAAGGGAAAGAATAGTGGAATAAGTCACTGGAATGTGCAGGGCCAGGAAGAGGTAGCTAGGTGTATTTGACCTCACCTCTGCAGCTCCGCATAAAGCGGAGTCTGCTGCTTTCACAGGATGTTGCCCTTGGCTTGGTCTCTAGCCTCACACACTCCCTGTACGTTCTGTCCTCTGGAGAGTTCCTCAAGGAGCCGGCCAGCGGATTGTAAGTGAGGTAGTCTTTGCTGGTCCTACTGCTGCTGCTGCTGCTAAGTCGCTTCAGCCGTGTCCAACTCTGTGCGACCCCATAGACGTCAGCCCACCGGGCTCCCCCGCCCCTGGGATTCTCCAGGCCAGAACACTGGAATGGGCTGCCATTTCTTCAATGCCTGAAAGTGAAAAGTGAGAGTGAAGTCAGTCTTGTCCAACTCTTAACGACCCCATGGACTGCAGCCCACCAGGCTACTGCATCCATGGGATTTTCTAGGCAAGAGTACTAGAGTGGGGTGCCATTGCCTTCTCCTTGCTGGTCCTAAGGGGCTGTTAATTTTTTTTCTTTCATTTATTTGTTTGCCTTTGCACATTTTTCTTTATTTTAAAGTTAAAAGCAATTTTTATTGACTTATAACATTAAATGGCTATTTCAACAGAAGTTCAACAAGGTCACAATACCCTGGCATATTTCGCTAACAGATTTAACACTTTGTATGGAATTTCCCTAGTGTTCTTACCTTTAAATTAAATGAAAATAAATGAAAAAATTAAATGAAAATATGTCACCTAGAAAAGGTACTGCATTTGAAGTACAATTGCCCAGAAACTAGATTGTCATCCTGTCTCCTTCCTTTTACCTTTAGCCTATTCCCCTCCCACATTTAACCCACATAAGTTCTGGAATTTTCTTCCCAGATAGCTCCCAAACCCATCTACCTTCATCACTTCCCTGCCACCACCTCCTTGCAGGTAAGGGAACAGACACTCTAGAAGCAAATTCCTTGGGTCAGAATCCCATTCTTGGTACTTACTACCAGGCTTATCTTGTGCAAAGTGAATTTGTGATGCAGTTACAAGCGGTACAGATATTCCTTCTTGTATCACCTTCAAAACTTCAGTGTTACCCTCTGGGGCTCCCGGGGTATTTTCTTTTGCCAGTCTGAGCAGACTAATACCCTCATCACTTAAGAAGATTTTAACTTTTCTGAGCCAAACCTCCTTTCCTTACCTGCAACTTGTAGAATATTTATTAATAATTACACCTGCCTTTAAATAAAATTAGCCCTGGCTTTGTACGTGGGAAATGTTTATTTCCAACAAAGCTTAGTAAGGAGGCTAGTCTACAGTTATCCTTCTTGTAATGATTTATTTTTATAGACAATATCAATTTTTTTAAAAAAAGAGGAAAGCCATAAGTGAAGGAAGTAAGGAAAAAGGAAAAAGCTGAGTTAACCTGAGCATGCGTGGTTGTTCCCCCCAAGAATCATCTATCACCACTTCCTGCTCCTCTGTTTCACGTGCAGTTAGTGTATTTTACTTGTGCATAGCTGTGCACAGCCTTCACTGTTTTCCACAGAAGCATGTTTAGTAATTCATAAGGTCTGCAAGTTTTGGAAGAGGCTTTGATGGATGCAATGAATATTTCAAATACAGGTTCATAAATCCATGATTAAAACATGAAAGAAACTGGCAACATTCCTAAGCAGTACTCTTTGTTACTCATTTTTTTTTTTTTTTAATTTATTAACTTTTAGGTCTGGAGTTCAAACTCTGCCCCACAATGCCAAGGTTCACTACAACTATGCCAATTTCCTGAAGGACCAGGGTCGGAACAGGGAAGCCATCTACCACTACAGAACGGCCCTCAAGTAAGCTGCGGCTGGGTGTCTGTGCTTTTCAGGCCCTTGTTTATTTCACTCACCCCTCCCAGTATATAGAGGCCTTGTTTCTCTTGACAGTGAACATCTCCTTGGAGGTGGTATAGACCTTGGACTCCAAATCTTTTGGCTCTTTGTTCAAGTCTGTTATAAGCCTACTTTGCTTCTAACTTTTGGTGTTTTCTTATAAAAATTTCCATTGCTACACATTATGTAATGAAGTGACACAGTTAAATACATATATACAGACCTGTAGGAATTGATTGTAAAAAATATTCTCGTAAGTTCATAGGATATTTACTGCAATGAATTCTTCCCAGTATAGGCTTCCCATTATCTAAAAGGATTTATATAAAGACTTTTGAGTGTAGAAGTAAAATACTCTGATAATTATGTTAAATAAAAAAAAAGAGTAAGAATTCACTTGCTTACTCTGTTGGGAATATGTTAATAAGGTATGTATATACATAAATATATATATAGTATATTTTTCAATGTTTTAAAATTTTAAATATGAGCAGCCCTGACACTCTCTTTGTATTCATCTACTGGAAAAGAATATACCATGCATGGCTTTAGAGATGATTTTACTGCGTGCCTGTTCAGTCATGTCTGACTCTTTGCAACCCCATGGACTATAGCCTACCAGGCTCCCCTGTCCATGGAATTTTCCAGGCAAGAATACTGGAGTGGATTGCCATTTCCACCTGCAGAAGATTGTCCCAACCCAGGAATCAAAATTGTGTGTCTTACATCTCCTGTGTTGGCAGGCAGATTCTTTACCACTGCACCACCTGGGAAGCCCCAGAGATGATTTTAAGGGGGATTCAAATTTAATTTCTGCATTACCAGCAGCCATCTGTATTGCTTTTATGTACCCAGACTGCAACTCTGATTTTCATGATGGTCTTTCCCGTCCCCCCCAAAAAGAAGGTCTGCCCTAGAAGATCTCAGATAATAAATGTGTTTAACCTGGAAGGAGTGGAGACCTGATAACTAAACACAGCCTCAGAATCTCCCCATGTGAGCTCACAGAAGTGTTTTCAAGAAGTTTCCATGCATCTACAGTGTGTCCCACATTTGGCTGAATTTTCTGATACAGTTCCACTTTGGGACATGCTCTAAAATATGTGTACCAAACAAAGCATACATTTCACTGAAGCACCCTTCTTGGATTGTCTCAAGGTTTAGTTTGAAATTATTCTTAAAGCAACTGACCTAATTTTTAAAAGTTATCCTTTTGAATAGTGTTCTACATAAGTATATTTGGTCATCAAGCAAAGTCTTTTAGACTTTAGGACTTGTTATTTAATATTCAATAAGGGGAAAATGTTAAACTGTTAACATCAAGTTCTCTTTCCCAAAGATTTTAAGAAATATGAGCTCCAGAGGAATAATTGCAACAAAGCTTATTATTGTGAAAAAGAAGTTTTTATTAAGAAATAGAAAGCATTTTGAAAGATTTAATAAGGAATTATATTTTTTTCACTGCAAGCCAGTTTATCCAAATGTTTATACTGCTTATCTCTGGTTAGTGAGATTATGCTTTAATTTCTTTCTTTATTCTTTCCTTTGTGTTCCAGATGTTTTATAATGAACATGCATTATTTTTGAATTGAGGAAGTGTCATTTTTTTTTAAAAAGGCATGTTCTTTCAAGGGACATTCAAGCCAATAAATTATGTTTTGTTTTCAATAATGAATTAGTGTGTCGTGATTTCAGGTGGCATTCTTAAAAGGAAGAGAAGAGCAGTAAGTTTGCCTGAAAAATATTGGTGCAAGGGAAATGTACCCATATCTTTTTAAGTTTGTTGCATTCTAACACACTATTTTCTGTCAAGTTCAAACAAAAAATAAGGCAGATCCTAAGGCACAGCTTAGGGCAAAAGTATAAATTAAGCAAAATTCTCCTGCAGCTGATTTTACAGAATCACAGTACCTGGTTGTGACTTCTGCCTGTTTCCTATGAAACAATAAAGAGAAATGTTTGCTTCAACAACTGTGCTTCGGGAAGAAACATGTCCTTTGAGAAATGCAGTAAAAACAATTAAAGCTAAAAATATACTGCATAGTAATTAGTGAAATAATTCATCCTCTCCCCACCAGGCTCACAATACTTTTGATTTAAACTATTATTATTTTTGTGTGAATACCTCTGTGTGAATTTTCAGTGGACGTGGGTTTGTTTTTTTTTTTAATTTAAGTAAATTGTCACTCTTTATGTTAAAAAAAGGAAAATACTACAACTGTTCATCATTTTGATGATTATTTATCCCCGGTGACTGGAAGACTGTCCTTCCTATAATATAACTCTTTGTGGAGGTTGCAGACTCAGGGGTCCTGCCCTGTCCTGTTTCATGCTATTGCACCTTTGGTGTATCTGATGTTTTCTGTATTTGCACACAGCAAGAAAGAGAATAATGAGGGAAATGCATGATTAAATGTGGTGTTATCTGAATTCAGTCCCAAAAGTTATTCATTCCTGTTGTAATAACTGTATAGATTCCTAAGAGAATGGTGAAACTAGTCATAAAGTTTGTATCTGTACCTATATCTTTTTGGCTGGCTTACAGTTCTCAAAATAACACTATATTAAATTAGTAATTATATATGGCATGAATACTGTGCTTCTTTTAAACTTTATTCTGTTTTTTAAACAATGTAGATGTCCATTAACTTCATTTTGGTGTACCTCTTTTATGACATTTCTGTATTGCAAGGGAGGTTGCCCTTGGATAATGCCGCAGCTGAGGTCATAGATTAAGACTCAGATCATCAAGGGAAATTGTCAGAACCATTTCCTTAAGTCCTCCACAAAGACAGGTGTAAGTATTCCTTTGCTGTCAGGGTGGCTGTCATGTTTATTGGGGTGTTATAAAGGTTGGGATTCTGTATACTGGAAAATCAGAATACTGCTGATGGAGCTGCCATCTTCCTTCAAAACTTTTTGACCATTGAGTTACTCTGGAGAAGGTTCCTACCATTTCACCTCATATGATGGGAGTAGAAAGTCCAGAGACCACCCAGCCATTAAGCTCTTTCTATACAAAACCTCTCATGAAATGACTCCCTTGGTAAGCCCAAAAGCAGCGATAGTGGCACTTCCCAAATAAAGTGCAGTTAATACTGTATATATAGTTGGCCAGTGGCTTCTTGATTAGTTTAAAAAGTCAGTTTAAAGTGAAGAAGGCTAATAGAGTTTTTCCAAAAGAATGCACTGGTCATAGCAAACACCCTCTTCCAACAACACAAGAGAAGACTCTACACATGGACATCACCAGATGGTCAACACCGAAATCAGATTGATAATATATTTTGCAGCCAAAGATGGAGAAGCTCTATACAGTCAGCAAAAACAAGACCGGGAACTGTCTGTGGCTCGATCATGAACTCCTTATTGCCAAATTCAGACTTAAAGTGAAGAAAGTAGGGAAAACCACTAGACCATTCACGTATGACCTAAATCAAATCCCTTATGACTATACAGTGGAAGTGAGAAATAGATTTAAGGGACTAGATCTGATAGACAGAGTGTCTGATGAACTATGGATGGAGGTTCATGACATTGTACAAAAGACAGGGATCAAGACCATCCTCATGGAAAAGAAATGCAGAAAGGCAAAATGGTTGTCTGAGGAGACCTTACAAATAGCTGTGAAAGAAGAGAAGCAAAAAGCAAAGGAGAAAAGGAAAGATATACCCATTTGAATGCAGAGTTCCAAAGAATAGCAAGGAAAGATAAGAAAACGTTCCTCAGCAATCAAGTCAAAGAAATAGAGGAAAACAACAGAATGGGAACGACTAGAGATCTCTTCAAGAAAATTAGAGATACCAAGGGAATATTTCATGCAGACATGGGCACAATAAAGGACAGAAATGGTATGGACCTAACAGAAGTAGAACATATTAAGAAGAGGTGGCAAGAATCAAGAATACACAGAAGAACTGTACAAAAAAATCTTCATAACCCAGATAATCACAATGGTATGATCACTCACCTAGAATGAGACATCCTGGAATGTGAAATCAAGTGGGCCTTAGAAAGCATCACTATGAACAAAGCTAGTGGAGGTGATAGAATTCCAGTTGAGCTATTTCAAATCCTGAAAGATGATGCTGTGAAAGTGGTGCACTCAATATGTCAGCAAATTTGGAAAACTCAGCAGTGGCCACAGGACTGGAAAAGGTCAGTTTTCATTCCAATCCCAAAGAAAGGCAATCCCAAAGAATGCTCAAACTACCACACAATTGTACTCATCTCCCACACTAGTAAAGTAATGCTCAAAATTCTCCAAGCCAGGCTTCAGCAATACGTAAACCATGAACTTCCAGATGTTCAAGCTGGTTTTAGAAAAGGCAGAGGAACCAGAGATCAAATTGCCAACATCTACTGGATCATCGAAATAGCAAGAGAGTTCCAGAAAAACATGTATTTCTGCTTTGTTGACTATGCCAAAGCCTTTGACTGTGTGGATCACAATAAACTGTGGAAAATTCTGAAAGAGATGGCAATACCAGACCACCTGCCTCTTGAGAAACCTGTATGCAGGTAGGAAGCAACAGTTAGAACTGAACATGGAATAACAGACTGGTTCCAAATAAGAAAAGGAGTACATCAAGGCTATATATTGTCACCCTGCTTATTTATCTTATATGCAGAGTACATCATGAGAAACGCTGGGCTGGAAGAAGCACAAGCTGGAATCAAGATTGCTGGGAGAAATATCAATAACCTCAGATATGCAGATGACACCACCCTTATGGCAGAAAGTGAAGAGGAACTAGAAAGCCTCTTGATGAAAGTGAAAGAGGAGAGTGAAAAAGTTGGCTTAAAGCTCAACATTCATAAAACTAAGATCATGGCATCTGGTCCCATCACCTCATGGGAAATAGATGGGGAAACAGTGGAAACACTGTCAGACTTTAATTTTTCAGGCTCCAAAATCACTGCAGATGGTGATTGCAGCCATGAAACTAAAAGATGCTTACTTC